TCTGCTCAAAACTGTCCAAACCTTGGTAGCCTTTCGGAGAACACTGATATGATCATGTGAGGGTAAATGCAGAAATAAACTCTCTTTCTTTATTCTTAAATACATAACCCAACCACGTGTACCACGCGTCAAGTGATAAGCCTTGAAAGTTATCTTACCTGAATCCGGGATGAATTGGATTCATTGGCGCATGTCCGGTTGTTGCTCCAGCATCTTCTTGATCGCGGAATGATGGCGCTGATTGGATATGGGACATCATGTGTTGATGCGGATCCTGGTAGACGTTGTCTATAATGTAAAGCCTTCAATAAGCACGTAGTCTAGAGGGAAAATCGTTACTTATAGGTTAATTATAAAATTCTAAAAATTCTATAATAATAATGTTTTGTGAAAAAACACCCTATTTATACAATATAACCAATTCAGCTACCATGTTCATTTGTGGATGGCAGTGGATGCTGTCGACAGCAGAACATTAACTACACCATTTTTCACTTTATCGATTCTTGCGGTTGCGAGGATAAATCGGTTAAGCTGGATGACACAAGAACCTCTAAATCCCACCACAAAAAGCCTCTTACGTTCTTAAGTAAAAAATGAATTGTACTGCCACTTTCTAAGCGAGTTAAACTTGTTGCAGGAATTCTATCAAATCCAATAAAAAAGGGTATTTTCTGCCTTTGAAAAGGTTTAGTAATCTGATACCAGTTTTTCTAGAGATAGGTTTCAGTACAGCAAACATATCTTAATTTGCCGGCTGAACAAATCCTACAGAAAAAACAAGGAGGCTTATGGAGGAAAGAAGTAGAAAGTTCCGAAATACAAAATAAGATAAAACTAGATATTTTCCCTTCGAAAAAAAAATAACAGGGCTAAAAGGGAAGCTCTGGAACAGAATTTCATTTCAAAGTCTGGATTCCAAGATAAGGTTGCGGGTTTTCAAAATGAGAGTAGGAGCTTAAACTGCGTTTCGAAAATAACCAAAGATTCTTTGGAGCGTTTTTTAAAATCCAGAAACAGTTTTGAAGGGGAATAGGATAAGCACAAGTTTAACATAAAAATTGGTCGGGAATAAAAATTTGCGACTAGCACACAGTTTGACGCTCATCAACACGTGGGATATGCATAACCTTAGAAACTGGTCAGTTGTTGAAGTGATTCTCTTCATTATGGATTTCTATATGTAGAAGAAGCATTCCAAACTTGGGTCCAATAAAGCACCTGTACTAAATGATAGAACGAAACGTTCCAGTCATGAAAATTTAAATGAAACTTCATTTCTCATAAAATTCTCTGAGTTATTCATCAAATGCAGACAGCTCTCAAACAAATTGGATTTGAAAAAATAGTCATGGAAATTAAATTAAATTCTGCTATAATTCATTCTACTGGAAACAAATGCATCTAGCAGTCTTATCATGCAAGTATACATTCTTATTAGAGAAGAAACTACAGTCTAAAACCACCAGCACATATGCCACCTCATAAAACCAGGATAATATACTTTCAGAGAAAATCGAGGACTGCTATCAGTTTCTGGGTCAATTCTCCTTTTTCTTAGAACAATCGCTTGCAGCAGGCTAACAACCTCAATCAGAGCAAAGACAACGAAGTGCAGAATAATCGATGCCAAGACGAGGGAAATGTGATACAGAAATTTGCATTCGTATAAGTGCATGTCAGAGTTTTTCTCCATCAATGCATTAGTTTTTCCACTCTGCAGAATTTACAGGAAATCACCAAGGTAACCAATGGAGAAAGCTGCTGTAATTCTCCTCTAATGGACTGAGCAAATAAAAAGTTGGGAGCGACATTTATTTAGAGATGTTAAGAGCAAACGAGT